ATTGTTGTTTGACGACATTAGTGCTTTTTGTCTCAAGAGTCAACAATATACTAGCGCATGTTCTAGCGGATCGCATCACGGAGTAGGTACCATTACTGTATTTCATGCAGTACCTTCTAAATCGAGTCAAGCTTGGAATAATTTGGTATCTCATTACAAATGTATTGTTTCTTTTGACAACAACAGCGAAATTGAAAAAATATTTAAAAATGATTTTCCTTCTGCTGGAAAAATGCATCACGTCATTAGCGATTTACTTAACAAAGAAACTTCTAGTCAACACGGACACTTGGCATTATTTAAAAGAAATTGTTCTGTTGCCAGATTAAGAACCCAAATTACCAATTCCAAAGAACAAAAAGTGTTTATACCTGTTGACGCTCAAGGAAAATTAGATTTTGATTACAACGAAATGAGCGTAAACAAAAAAATTGTTACTTTTCAATCGTTTCTTTATGTTAAAGCGCGAAATTGTAAAAACCATTATTATCTTAAATCTCATCACAATCCATTTTGTCAAGAAAAAGAGAAGGAGAACCAACAAACTAACGACGAAGAAGGTAAAAACAATATAAATAGCGAAAAAGAAAATCAAATAAAAAAAAGAAAATGGAGCGAGAGCGAAAGAGCTGCTCTAATGCTTGAAGAAATTAAAAGAAGAAAGAGATATGAATTGTGCGAATCATCAGACGAATTTTCAGATTCTGGAGACGAATCAAACGAATCAGAATGATTGGGACAGCGAAGAACTGTTGCAACTTTTACAAAGCGATTACGAAGCGTGCAATCTCAAAACATCAAAACGAAAAGACATGAGACAAAAATTAGCCGTTCGCAGTCACATTTTTATACCTAAAATGAACAAACGTAAAGATATAGACGAAAACGAAATTAAAATATGGATCAAAGAAATTTCGACTCGATTTAACGCTGTCAAAATGTTAAAATGCGAACTTTTGTCTGATCACGAAAGATTACAAATCAAAAACGCTTTTCAAGATTACGTATGTTTAGAAATTAAATTGTTTGTCAAAGAAATTTTATATCCTTATCCCAAGTTTAACGAAAACGGAAAAATTATTTTAAAAAAAGAAAAAATGAAAGACAAAAACAAAACCATATCGGATTTCGTTTACAATAATTACGACGTTTTAAAAGAATATTTCAACTCTACTCGTTTTAAACTTTATCACGAAATAATAAATTATTACTCTAATAAATTAATTTCATTTGACACGTTACAACCTACAAAAACTGTTATAGATTTGTTAAGACAACAATTTGACATTGATTATTGTCAAAAAGAATTGTATTCTCAAAAAGATTTGTATTATTTTGAAATAGATATAAACCGTACGATTTTTCTTATACCCCTTTGCTCGCTTTGCGAAAAGTTTTCGCGCAAAATGCTTACAACACTGACGTCTACAAAAAAACTAGATTGGAAATGGAAAAAGAAACTGAAGAAAAAGAAACAGAAACTGTTCCGCAAAGTTCTGGCATGCCAGAAACAACAATGAAATCTGACATTTCTCATTTGATCGAAAGATACGATTTACCCTCTTCCCTTATCTATGCCGATCCGATAAATGCAGAAGCGCAAATCGAAGGCGAATTACGATTTCAACAAGAATTAAATAATTTATTACCTATTGAAACACAGCTGAACGGTGATTTGACAACATCGCTAATTCAAGATCAAGAAAAATGGAAAACTTATCTCAACGTAGGAGGTGACGCTTACGCTTTTAGCAAATTAATCGGACAAAACAAATACAACGAATTTAACGCTAAAGTTGATCAAAGAACCATTAGCGAAACTTTAAGAACCATGAGAAATATAAAAAAATATGTTCCTCAAGAAGAAAACAATTCTCTTAATCCTATGCCTCCTAATTCTGTACAATCAAGTTTAAATAATTTATCACAAAAAACTACTTTAAATACTGTTCAACCTACTAACAAAAAAGTTTATCTTTTAACTCCTCTTAATCGATTTTTAACTTTTTACGAAAAACCTAACGACGCAGAAGTAACCAAACTCATGGCAAATTTAGCTAGATCAAACATGGCTAAATTAGCTCGCAATTTATTAGACATGTGTAAAAATCAAGTCAATCACTCCTTTGGATCGAATCAAATTTCTTTACGCGTTTATAAACCTAGAGGTGAAGAAGCGACATTAAACAATTTAAAAATATATATTCAATTTATGAATAACGTAGTAGACGTTGAAGAATCATTAGCTAGCATTATTAACAACGTTAACGCAACTTCTTACAAAATCATTAATGATCCTAAACAATATTCTTATTACGCTAACGAATTTTTAACTTTACTTGCTTCACCTCAAAGCGTAGGCAGTTTAAGAATGGTTGCAGATTATTATCAAATTAAACATCTTACTTTTGCTAAATTGTGGAATTATTTAAAAAAATATAACATACCTTTTAGAAACGAAAACAAATTGACGGCAGAAAGCGCGTATCAAGAAACCTTTTCAAGTCGTCCTTATACTGTAATGACTTCAGCCTTTTTTGAAAGCGATTCATTAGTAGACAAAAGTTTTTCGGGTAATATTGCTTTTGATCTTTTATCTGAAACAAAAAAAGTTGTCAACTCGTGGTTAATACAATACACAGAACAATTTAAAGGTTACAACTTTAACATTTTAACCGATTACATCAAATCTAACAGCGTTTACATGCTCGACAAAAATATTTATAATTTAATGATTAACAATTACAACGAAAACGCGATGCAAAGTATATCGATCGGTGAACACATGTTATACCTTACATTTAAAACGTTTTTTGCAAATCCGCCTTCTTTACCATATAGAGATGTAGACGACGTAGTACAATTACAAGACAACTTAGTAACCGCTTGCATACAAGCAAACATGCAAGATTTTTTAGAACAAATTAAAAGCAATTCGAATCAATTTTATAATACAGAAATCAACGTTAAACAAAAAACAATCATCGAAATGATGATGATAATGGGTTCTTTAAACAGTTCTCAACTCTTTCGATTGGATACTCTTTTATCAGCATATAAAAAATGTTTTGAAATTCAATCTAATAATTCAAACGAAATTAAAAATTTTGCATTAATTTTAAAATCAGTCACTTCATTAAAGACAAATAATTTGTTTGTGCATCCAAAAGTTGATATCAACCTTTCTCCTGTAAAAAAATCTTTTTTTTCAAAAAAATCTGTATTACCTACTCCCGAATCTTTAGTTGATACACCTCAATCTAGTTTTAAAGATAAACCTTGGTTAGAATCTACTCCAAAAGAAGACTCTTGGTTGTATAAAGAAGAAAAACCTGTCGGTGCTACCGCTTTACCTACTGAAGAAAAACCTGTCAGCGCTACCGCTTTACCTACTGAAGCTACGCCAATTACTAGTAAAGAAATAAAACCTAAACGTTTAGAAAAAAAATATCCAACAAGAAAAAAAGCTAAAGATCTTTAAAAAAAATGGAAGACGCATTAAGAGATAAAATAGATCGTCTTATCGAAATTCAACTTGACGATTTATCCAGTCGATTATTTGGCTTGACCAACTTGACAAAAATTAAAAAAATAATGTCGCAATTTAACACTTTGAAAAAAAATGTCAGCGATTTCAAATTTTATGAAAAACTTAAAACAATTTTAGAAAATTCAGTTTTTGCTAAATGGGACGGTATGATAACTGCTTGGTCGCATCAAACACTTCTTTTAAAAAAAACTGCTAACGCAAACGTTAAAAAACAAGCGCCGAGAAAACCATACGTTTACGAAACGCATCGGTTTTCTTACGAAAAACCTCATCAGTATTTTCAAGCCGATTTGGCAGACATGGAGAGTTTTAATTTTAATCCTGGTTATCGTCCTGATTATTGTTTAGTCGTAGTTGACGGTGTTTCGAGTAAAGTGTATTTGAGAGTAATGAAAAAAAAAACTGCAGAAAAAACAGTCAGCAGTTTTAGACACATTTTTAAAGACATTAAACGAGACGACAACAAAAGTTTTATATATTTGCAAACAGACGAAGGTACAGAATTTTTTAATTCAAAAATGAAAGAATGGTGCGAAACCGAAAACGTACATCACTTTCATTCTAAAAATTACGGAAAAGCCTACCTAGCTGAATCGGTCATTGGACGTTTAAAACTGTTATATCAAAAATTAAGAGATAAAGGTCAATTAAAAAAATATAATTGGAGTTATTACATTGAAGAAATCGAACAAAAACTAAACGAGAAAGAAAAAACATCCAGCGGTATAAGTCCTGAAGAATTGGATGCCGATGACAATAAAGGTAAAGCTCTGCGTATGATTGATCAATACATAAGCAACAAAAAACGTAAACATGACTTTACATCCAACATGTTGCATCGCGTAGAAAAAGAACACAAAAATCAAAAATTAAAAATATTAAAACCTTTATCTGTTGGAACAGAATGTTATTTAAGAAAATACAAAAAAGATGCTAAAGATACTTTTAGCAAATCGAGTACACGAAACCGTCCGTATTGGGACACAACAAAACGTGTCATCATCATGAAAGTCAGCAAACGCACAAACCCTTCAGGGCAAGGTTATTTACCGGTTCATATTTACAAAGTAGGACAAGTTGGCGATTTAAATACAACGTATAAAGTCAAGAGAGAAGATTTGTTACCTATTAACGAAGAAGATAAAAACATTTATTTTAAAAACTTTAACGAATACGTAGACACTTTTTATAAACCTTTAAAGAAATCTTTGCAAAAAAAAATTATTGTAAAAAAAAATGAATAATTTAGTATTTGATGATGTTTTAGATGTAAGTAAATATGATTGTAGTACGTATTTTTTTAGCGAAATTAAAAGTAAAGAGCAAGAAAATGATCATTATAACGTTTTGAACGATTTTAGTTTACCCTTATCTACTAACGATCTAGATAAACCTTTTTTTAAAAATAATACTATTATGCATTTATCATCTATGGACGTTCCAACTAGTTTAACGCGCATAGACGAAAACGTTTCGTTAACAGAAAACAGCTACGGAACAAGAATGGAAACAAAACCTTCTATAAAACAAATGATGACAGATATTCAAAACGACACGATATCTAATCCTAATCGAAAAATTCCTTTTTATCTTGTAACTAAAAAAATTATTTTGTACACCGATTATGCTCTTTTGCCAGGAGACGCGTTTCAAAATTATGACCTATTAAGAGTTGAGCATATGGACGCAGTTCATTTGGAATTCATGTGCTCGGTTTCTGGTCGTGCTAAACTATTTGGTACAACATCTCCGAGTCCGTTGCAAGACGATTTTTTAATCAGACGATTAGAGCTTTTTAATACGAGTTTAAATAGAAGATTGACTTTTGCAGATTTTTTTTCAAATTATCAAAACAAAAGTAGTAATATTACAAATCAAAAATGTTTCAATTTAAAATATTTATTTGACACCAACACACATTTACGTTATGTTACTAATAACGAAAATACTATCATTTCAAAATTAAGTATAGAACCAAACGGAAATGTTAAACAATATATACAAAATTATTCTTACATTAATGCACCGAATTATAATTTTGTATGGTATTTTAAAAAAAAAACTAACGAAAACTTAAACAACCCTTCTAATCTTTATCCTATAAGGTCTAGCATCTCTACTAATTCAAACGAACGAGGATTATCTTATTTTGGTTTTTTTTCAAACCGAACAAATGCACCACAATACGTAGTACAAGATTTTACATCGTTAATACAATATGATTATTTATCTTTTAAATCAAGATATGATAACTTGTACAACTTTGCATTATCTACTCAAACGAGCAAAAATTTTATGATTTACGTAAAACATCCACAAGTAGCACCAGGAGATATAGCTAATCTTACTCCCGAAAGAGCTGTTATTTTAAGTAATACAGAAGAAACTTTTGTTCGTCCTTTTATTCATATCATGGTAACACCTAAATACGGAGGAGCTCTTGTTCCAGACACACGCGATGCTAATATTTTAAGTGTCGATTTAGATGTTTATGTTAATAACTTATTACCTAGCTCAGAAAGTGTAAAAACATCCAAAATGAAACACATTGTTCCTTGGCAAATTGCCTTTTTTTTATTAAAAATAATGACTAACACAAACACAATAAAATCTGAGGGTAACATATACAATATAGAAACTGATCTTAACGAAATTCCAATTCAAATTAACGCTTTATGGAAAATTTGGAACGACCAAGTTAACGTTAAAGACGCTAACAACAACTATACAGAAGAAAAAATGT